GTTTGTTAGTTGCATGGGTAACAATTCCTGTTCCAGATCTTGTTGCTCCTGTCTCTTAGAAATGGCTGGTCACTGTGATGCATAGTGTATGAACCAATCCCCAAAGGACAAGCCATTCTTCTGTACTTCCTTCCTGCTTATCTCATATAAGCCCTAGACCACCAGAGATCAGGGCCTGATAGTCTGGGAGTGAACCCCATCAGTGCCTGTCAGCATAAATAAATCTGCCTCCAAATCCTGGGTGTCATTTCAGTGTTTCTGCTTGCCGTTGCAGTTCCACCACTGACATCTTGCTTCAGCTGAGTTTTCATGCTGTGGCAAGGGCAGGGCTGGAGCTCCGTCCCACGCACAGCTGGGCTTCTGGGAGAGGAAAGCCTGTTAGGAGAGGACAGCAAGCAGCAGGCACAAAACAAGAGGGAGTGGGGCAGCACCTGTGATCCAACCCTGGACTGCTGTAGCCCATCATGTCCAGAGACCATGCTCTGATGATGGGGCTATGGGGGTGGTTCTTCAGCTGGACACCCCTGGAAGCATGGTTTCTAGAAGTCTGCCCACAGGTCCTGTTTTTGTTACATGTCCATGGGTGTTTAAACCATGACAGAAGTCAGTGAAGAAAGAAGAGCAAATGCTACTATTTTTACACAGGTGAAGCAGGCCTCAGCAAGGGTCTGACCTCAGGAGAAGGCAGCCTGGACTCTGAACTTCTGGGGACCTAGGGAATAGAGCTCTTATTAGCTCTCCTCTGCAGCACAGTAGATTCAGATCCTGCTACATGGAAAGAAGTAGGAGGTAGCTTCTGTTGGGGGGAGGACAGGCAAAGACAATCCAATTCAGTTCAATCACACAATACACCAGTGCAATTACTATTTCTAAGTAATTAGCACTCTTGGTGATGGTCTCAGCAGAAAGGAGAAGGAAATAGCTGTAAGTGAGCTTCTTTGTTCCTCCACCTCAAAAAATAGCATCATGAGGCCAACGCATGGTTATGACGTGACTGGCAAGCCTGGAGGACACAGGTCCCACGGGCCAACCAGACCCAGGTGTGGTATGCACCTTGTGATCTTTCCCTCCTTCCTGAATATTGGTCTTTCCCTCCTTTCAAATGTTCAGGATTAGGAGACAGACTTGACAGAGAAGCTCAGTGTCTTCCCCACTCACCTGCATATATCCAGGGAGGGTGTGTTTTGGGCTCTATTTCCCTATTTGAGATAGGTTCCTATTTGAGATAAGTAATACTTCAGATGAGCGTGAGCAGAGACATACACACTCATGTTTCCATCTTTTTTAATTATATCAGTGGACTGTATTCATGATTAACTTGCAATAGTTAAAAGGATTTCAATGAACTAAAGTTTCATTCCCTAGTGTCCTGCATGGGTCACTCTCATCACCAGAATCAGACACAGGAGTCTGCATGGCCTCTCACCAAGGCATTGAAGTCACCTAAAACACCTGCACTGGACATCCCAGACAGCTCTCTGAGGGCAATCAGCCCTGCAGGCCCCTGCTTCAGGGATTCCGAGATAGCAGGCTTCCTGCAGAGTCAGCCCCGACAGTGACAGCAGGCTATATCCTCAGACCGGCTCTCCTCAACAACTGTGGGCTTTGCACATGCAAAAGGCACACCTGCCCTCTGCAGAAGGCTAGGGAAGTACAGAAGAGTTCAAGGAATATGTCTAAGTACCCACATACAGGCACTGGTAGCAGCATATTTCCTACTACAGCACTTTCTCATCATAGCATCTACTTATTTTTAAAACAAAATGATATCAATCCTATGTTCTCTCAGAACAATGCAGTATATCCATACTTGTAGAAAATGTTCTTAACAGCTTGTTTTTAACTTATTAATAATGTTTACTGACATGCAAAGAAATCTGTCTATGAAAATCAAACATCTATTATTTGAGATTACTTGGATTGCTTTTATGCTTAGAAAAGTGCTTCTGCAATTCAAGATCAGATTCACATAATTCATTTGCAGTAAAAAGAAAACTTACACTCTTTCTCTTAGGAATATAAAAGCAATGAATGTTCATTACAGAAAATTCAGAAATGTGTGAAATAGGGATCAATAGCTGGAGTGATTCCAGCTCTTGGAGCTAGACACTATAAGTCCTTTAAAACATGTGCACATGCACACATACCATGCACACACATGCTCACAAGTACATGCACACTATGTATACACACACACACCTACATCTTATGTCATATTGAGTGGTTGGCTTCATGTGCACTACTGACTTACACACCAGTGTACTGGGTGTATTTTTCCACGTCATGAATCATCCCTATGAATACTAATTGCTGACTAATATTCAACTGTGCTATAGAAGGACAATAACCAATTTACTGAATCCCCTATTCCTAGGCATTTGGGTTATTTTCAGTTGTTAATTATTTACATTAGAGTCATAAAGAATATCCTCTGTACATAAATTTAATGCTTATCTGATTATCTCCTGAGGACAAATTTGGATAAAAATTCTACTCTTACAAATTTTATCCAAAGTCCATGAATATTTTTGAAGCTTCTCATACACATGGATGAAAGATACCTGCTGCCTACAGCCACCCACTGAGACACATGAGATGATACCATCAGTGTCTGTGACTCTTGACCAAAACCGTATTATAAACCTTCTCAAAGCACATGCCAGGGAGGTGGCCCAAGAACAACATACATGTGCCTGCTTCCTCTGTGCGTGTGAGGCCTGGCTCCTCGCCCCGCCTGCCAGCACCCATGCTCTTTCTGTGCGATGCCCACTCAGTCCCTGACAGTGATAAGACACACACAGAGAACAAAAGAAAGAGGCATCATTAACTTCTGGTCAAAGGTTAAACAAATTTAACTAAGAACATCTTAGAAAAGAAGAAATTCTGGAGTTTTCTTATACTAGAATAACATTAATGATAATAGAACTAAAATGGGGGCAAGAGTAGAAATTACTGTGAACTTAGTATAGGAAAATTAGTTTCTAATTCTCCCACCAAAAGCAGTCTCCACAAATACTCATGGACATCCATGGAGCCAAGAGTTTAGATGCTAATGCTACCTTCCACAGGAAAAAATTAATTCACCCAGTATCAGTTTCCACAATTTGAGACAGGAAGAAGTCATAGGTCCTGAAACTCAGTGTTCTACCTGGAAAACAAGAAGCCTCCAAACATGGGAAGGCAGCCCTGGACAGTACCAAGTGGCAGTTCACAGGGGCTACAGCCAAACTGTAGCCATCTTGGCACTCGACAGAGTAACCACCCTCCTACCTCAGGTTAAACTGAAGATCCAGTCATCCCAAACTATGCAGCCACACTGCCATCTTGCCAACTATGGTAACTGGTGTGACACATGCAGCCTGCTTCTTACTGGTCTGGGGTCCACCATGGAGTCATGGCAGGTTATCCATGCATTCCAGGTGAGAGAAGCATCCACTCAGAACACTCCAGGGTAGTGACAGAGGGCAGATGTCTTTCAAAGATCTAAATACAACACTAATGTTTGTGATCACTGCATTTTTGCATGTGTTTACTGCATTTAAAAGAATAATTCATCAATGCTACCGAAATTGTTCTTTTAATTGATTAATATATGCGTTTAACACATGGAGCACTAAATAAAACACAACCATGAGTTTCTCCTAGCACAAAAGCCTTACCATGTTCCCACCACTTGATTGTCTTCAGGTCACTCTGGAGATGCTATGGGCATTGCTCACTTGACTATTATATGTGGCTACTTCCTCGTCCTGGTCTTGCGATTTGACATGTGGTAATCCTGCTCAAAAGGACTCAAATCTGCTGCCTTCTAGCTTCCAGATGTGGTGTCATATTGGGAAAGCTGCTCAGAAAACGTCCACCTGTGTCTTCTGTTTTTAGAGCTGTTATGGTTTGTGCCTATATGCCCCCCAAATCCTCATGCAGTCATGGGACTGGCTTCTAGATTTTTTATTGATCCATAGTCCATCGCTGGGATTGTGGGTGTGAGTGCTACACCCACCCTGGTGCGGATAGTTTGCATACAATATAAGCGAGAGGGAGAAGCTGCCGTTCCTCCCTTTTGCTCTTGTTGTTTTAGCTGTGTTCCACCGCCATGAACTGCAGCCTTCTGCTATGTCACTCTGCTTTAGAGTCAGCTGAGTGTGGACTGAAACCTTCACAAACTGTAAGCTAAATAAGCCTTTCCTTCCCTCATTTTGGGTGTCAGGTATTTTGTCATAGCAACGAGAGAAAAGTAACCAAGACAAGAGCACAGCTTCCCTTGCCCCTCAGTCAGCTCCTCAGGGTCTTATCTAACCAAGGGACATCCCCTCTGCCACCCAGGAATGCTTTCTGCCCCCACCACTGCTACCCAGAAGCTGTTACCCAGTGGTGCACAGTGGTGCCCACACCTCCACAGCCTCAGCTACACAACCGCCTCCTGGGGCACTACCAGCCTTGCTGCAGGGCAAGGACTGAGAACACGGAAGACTATTCAGGAGCCCAGCTGGTTCCTGATCCCTCTGGCTCCTCTGGGCATGGCCAGCACAAGATGAGACTTCACTCACACACGAGTTTCCCTTTTGGGAGCCAGCTCCAGACTCTGCTTGGCTCCTGACACTACTTACCTCTGCACTAGCATCACACTGTTTTAATTTCCTCAGTTTTCTAGAATGTTTTGACATCAGGTGGGATCATAGTCTTGTACTGCTGTTCTTTTCCAAAATCTGCTGGCTACTATTTATACAACCAATTTCCTTATGACATTCAGAAGCCATTAATCAATTTCCATGAAATACCCTGTGGCAACACGCATTTTTTAAAAAAATTTAAGTATGAAACAGTAACGGCTGCTGACAGTTCTCCCCTCCACATAATCAATGAGAACACTGGCAAACATTGGCATGATTAACTTAAGAACTCTGAAGTAAAGGGATGCAATAATATAAGGGTCATTTAAAAAAAAAAAAAAAAAGGCTGGATCTTGATAAGAACTGTGAGCATGTGGCATTTTAACTCACCCACGTCCCATCCCCTTCCCCAGCTCCACCAGAGCCCGGCAGTCAGGAACCAGCTGCAGCAGTAGCGTGAACAGGGTGTCCTCCACAGCAGCAGCACCTGCATCAGAGAAGAGAAGGTCTCAACTCAATAAGCACAACTTCACCTCATATTCCAGCAAAAATAAAAGAGAATGGAAAACCACAACCAGAAGTTGTTTCCTTGCAAAGATCAACTCTGATAAACCCTTCCTTCGACGACAAAGAAAAAAACAGACTCAAACTACTAAAATGAGAAATGAAAGTGAGAATGTTACTGTCAAATTCACAAAAAATAAGGATATAAGGAAGTACTATGAACAATTTTGTGTCAACAGATGAAATTAGATGAAATGAGCAAATCCCTACAAACAGGTACAACTATAGAAACTGACTCAAGGAAAAATAAAAAATCTGATTACACCTAAAATAAGAAAAGAAATTGAGCTGTAAGTCAAAAAACTTTCCATAAGAAAAAATTCAGGAGCAGGTAGCTTCCTTGGTGAATTCTGCCTTATATTTAAAGAACACCAATCCTTCCCTAACTCTTCTAAAAAACAAATGAGAAAAGATAGTCCCACTTCATGACTACTATGAAGTCAACAGTACCCTGATACAAAGGCAGATGAAAACTTCACAGGGGAACTAAAGACCAGTATCTCTTATGAATACAGACGCAAAACTCCACAACAAAATACTCACAAAATCAAAAAATACATAAAATGGATTACATACTATAACCAAGTGGAATTTATCCAAAAATGTAAAGTTGGCTTAACAAAAATCAATTCAATGCTAAAGTCAATCAATGCAGTATTACATTAATGCAATTAAGGATAAAAATATTTTAGTTGTCTTCCATTTCACAAATTTCTATTCTTAAATTCCCTCTTTTACTTCCTGCTAACTTCTCAATTTCGACACTTATATGATCAATTTTCACTCTTTATCCTTTCAAATAGCTAATGCTAAGAATACAAATTTCTCTCCAAAAGCCAGGTGTGGTGGCTCACACCTACAATTTGAGCTACTTAGGAGGCTAAAGTGGGAGGATCAAAAGTTCAAGGACAGCCTGGCAACCTAGCAAGACACTTCCTCAAAATAAAAGATTATAAAGGGCTAAGGATGTACCTCAGTGGTAGGACACTGCTGAGTTTAATCTCCAGTACCACAAAAATAATGGGGGAAAACTTCCCTCCAAGTATTACACATTGTACAAGTCTTTTACTTACGTTGTTAGTTATTCAATTTCCAGTGAAATTTCCTCTTTAATTTGAATTATTTTTAGAGATTCTAAACATAGGTAGATAAGCTTGCTTTCATTATTGATTTCAGACTTTGCTACTTTGGTCAGTGTAATAGTTGATGTCTAGATGTCCCCTCAAAGCCTCATGCATTCTTAGGCTTTTTCAGAGGTGGCAGAATCTAGAGTTTGTAATTGATTTGAGGTCTAAGGCTGGGATTAAGGGTGTGAGTGCTACACTGGGCCTAGGGCAGGTAGCTTGCATACAATACAAGGGACAGACAGAGGAATGCCTCTATTGGCTGCTCTTGCTGTCTTCTGCAGTCATGAACTGCTGCCCTCTGCCCTCACCCTGCCTTGGAACTGTGGATTATGGACTCAAACCTCTACAAGCTGTGAGATAAATAAATCCCTCCCTCTTTAACATTGGGTGTTAGGTATTTTGTCTCAGCAATGAGAGAAAAGTAACTAAAACAGTCAGAAGAAATGATCTGAAAGAATTTGAGATTTATTTTAAAACCAAACACAAGGACAGATCTGAGGAATGTTTCAGGTGTTTCAGAAGAGTATGTATTCTCTAACTGGTTTCCATTTTTTTTATGTAACCAGGAAATAGAGCTTGAAATGCATAGCACTAAGGTCTTGAATATCTCTGTGTGAGAATTTGATCAATTATTGGAAAAGGAACATTAAAATAGTTCAGATAAATGAAGATTTTCCAATTTTCCCTGTGATTCAATTTTTTCTCAGTATTCTAGAGTATTATACATTCCATGTATATATGTATATAAACACATATATATACATATATACATATTTTATTATGTATTTTGAGGTTGAATTATTAGATAAGTCATGTACTGCCTAACAACAATGGTGGTCACCTCAGATTATAATGGAGCTGAGTCAGGCATGGTAGCAAGCACCTACTGTTCTAGCTATTCAGGGGGCTGAAGCAGGAGAGTCCTTTGGGCCCAGGAGTTGGAGGCCAGTCTGGTCAACATGGCAAAACCTTGTCTCAAAAAACATCAGATTATAATGGAGCTGAGAAGTTTCCAGTGCCTAGTAATGTGGCAGCCATTAAAATGTAACACAATGTCTTACCCATGTGTTTGTGGTAATGCTGGTATCCACACACCCACTGCTGACACTAAGGTAAAAGGACAGCATGGACAGTTACACACACAGCACTTATCTCACACGATAATAAAGGACTATGCTACAGGTTTACATATTTACTATTCCACATTTCCATCATCATTTTAGAGTATATTTTTCCTATTTAAAACAAACAACTGTAAAGCAGCCTCCAGTGGAGCTTCAGGAGGATTCCAGGAGACAATGTTGTCATCATGGGAGTGGTAACCCTGTGTGAGTACCTCTGGGAAGATAGAGGTGGAGGTGGAGAACAGTAATGCTGGTGATCCTGACCCTGGGCAGAGCTACACTAATATGTTTGTGTTTTTAACAAAGGCTTGGTTTCAAAAGTTTAAAAAAAATTAAATTTAGAAATATTAAAAAGTGTACAGAGTAAGAATACAAAGAAAATTATAAAACTATATGTTTGTGTATAAAGCTATAAAGCTGTTATTACAAAAGTTTTTAAAAATTAAAAATTTTATAAAGTAAAACAGGTATAAGCTGTGCATGGTGGTGCATGTCTATAATCCTAGCACTTGGGAGGCTGAGGCAAGAGGATCACTGAATGTTCAAGGACAGCCTGAGCTACATAGTGAGTTAAAGGCCAGTCTAAATTGTAAAGTGAGACCCTGTCTCCGAAGAAAAAAGTTATAGTAGGCCAAAGTTAGCTTACTGTTGAGTGGAAAGTACCACCTAGTACAAACTTAGAGCAGCTCACATGGATGAGTGTGTAGTGTTTACCAAGCGTCCTCACACGAACCCACTCACCCAGAGCTGTCCTAGGATGGTAAGCGTACTCTGAAAGCTTTACTTTCATCTTCCCTACTGCATTCTTACTGGACTGTTCCTGCATTCAGATGGGTTTAGATACACAGATATGCGCTGCTGTGCTACAATGGCCTACAATATCCAACACAGTGCCATGGGCACAGGTTTGTGTCCCTGGTGCACCAGTTGGACAACATGGTCTAGAGGTGTGCTGGAGGCTCTTCCATCCAGACTTGTGAAGTGCAGTCTAGGAGATCTGCAAAGAAAAAAGTCACCTAAGATGCATTTCTCAGAACACGTCCCTATAGTGAAGCGATATGTGACTGTGTATGATATATAACTATATATCATAAATATTTATCCTCACACAGATGCTATATTTTATAATAAAAAGCTTTTGTCTCTATATGTATTCATCTATATGTCTCATCCCTGCTGTCCAGACAACTGCCATTCTCACTGGGGTCCTGTGTAGGAGGACAGAAGCACAGGGTACTCAGAAGAGTCCTGCCTTCTAAGGCATGCAGGCTGGATCTTCCCAGACAGCAGAGCAGGGTCACCTTCAGGGACCCCACAGAGCATGAGGATAGAAGGGCCCAGGGCAGACAGCCTTGGTATGAAGTAAGGTGCAGGCTGCCCTCTGCCCTGTAAATGAGTCATTAGGGCAGAAACAGGTACTGCCTCCTCCTGTTGAGAGCAGGAAAACCACAGGGAGGACCAGGCAGTTTTGCACCATACACATGGGCAGCACTTGGCATGCAGTTTGCAAGAGGGCTTGCCTAGCAGATGGAAAGCAAGAACAAGATTGGAGGCTCAGCCCAGTGTCACTGGAACTTCAATCAAACAAAAGAGAGACGTGGTCAGCAAGCTGGAGAGACAGGATGCCAGCCACTGCTGGAGACCTCACAGCAGGCGAAGAGGCTGGCTAGTGGGTGGGTGGGCAGGCAGGGAGGCTGGCTGGGATTTTCCTGGAAGATCAAAGGAGGCCATGGACAACTTCACAGCAGTGTGGGCATGCTGAAATCTGAAACGGTACTACTACTGGAAGGAATTTCCTAACATCTAGATGATACAGTTACCACCAAATTCCCAGGTGGGCCAAGGAAAAGATGGCCTGGGTAGTTTACTGCAAAGGCAGCAATAGCTCTCTGTAAATTACATAGATAAAGCAATCTCACTAGAAATGTGTAATCATAATCAGAATAAGAATGCAGACCTCAAAAATAGCCCAACCACAACCCAATGCTCACATTGTCAGTGCGAGACTCGGAGACAAACCATCTGGGAAAGAAAAAGGCAGATGAGTCCATTTTCAAAAGCGGCTCACCAAATAAAAACCCAGGAAAGTTAGGGAACTATACATTAGCAGAATGAGACACAACCTCACACCTCATTAGAGAATACTGAAATCCGGTGAGGATGTGGGAACTGCCCATCACTGGTGGGGATGCAGAATGGTGCAGCCATTCTGGGAGAGAACTAGACTGTTCCTTGCAAACTAGGTGTGCTCTCAACAAAGGACTCTACAGTTCTGCTCCTGCAGAAGTGAGTCGAAAACTTGCATTCACACTAAGACCTGAATGTGAATGTTTACAGAAGCTTTATTCAGAACATTGCCCAAATGTGGAAGCAATCAAAACATCTTCCAATAACCAAACTGTGGTACATTCATAAAACTGAGTATTATTCAGCAATACAAAAAAATGTGCTGTCAATCTACAAAGACACAGATAAACATAAATGAAAGAAGTGAAAGAAGCCAATCTGGAAAAGTTACAGTCTGTGTGATTCCAGCTACATGACATTCTGCAAAAGCCAAAACAAGAGAGATGATAAACAGATCAGGGCAAGATGCAAACACATAGAGCACAGGGATTTCTAGGGCAATCAGACTACCCTGGTTTGATATTATAATGGTAACTGCAAGAGAT